CCGTAGAGAGGATTTTTAAAAATATGCATTGTAAATGAATAAGAAAGGTATTGTCAATGGTCAGGAATTAATGCTAGAATTAATTGCAGAATAGAGCTTTTAAATGTATCATGAAGTAAAAATAAAATTGAAAGGGAATCTGAGATTAAACAAATCAGCTATCTTTTCTGGAAGGTCAGAGATTCATAAATAATTCCGTGATGAGAGAATGAAAAGAAACATGTGTGTGTTGTGGTAGGGAATATTTTCTGAGTGAACTTGAGACCAAAGCTATCTTTTTAAAATATGGGCAAAACCTTAATGTTTAAGTAAAAAAAAAATATATATTAAATAATAATAAAAGCCAGAAAGCATTCTGTAGATTAATCTGTCTTCGATAAAGTTCACTGTTCATTTGAAAATAGCTCTAAATCATGCTATTGTGTTTCAGGTGGAGGAGAAGCTAATCAGAAGTTGTCGCCGCAACTTTTGACATTTACATGTCTGTCCTTAGCAAATGTCACATGAAGTTGGACTGCTCAGCAGTTGCTTCGTAACGATGAAACTTTATGTCTAGTTTTGGACAAATTTGCTGCAAAGCCATTATTGGTTCAAGTTGCATGTGATATCTGGCATGTTATAATTAAAATAATTCATGTCTGACAGCCATTGAAAGTAAAACAACAGTATAAGATGGATTCTTTGGCTACAGAATAACACAATTGGTAAGGTGCTGCAAGAAATAATAGCATTAGCACTCCAAATAGGCTTTCTTATTCTTGTTCTTTTTTTAATCCACAGTATCCACTAAGTCAGGTGTACATTATATAAAGCAAATATGATTTATTAAGTGAAGACTTCTTCTATGTGCCATATCCCTTCAAGAAATTGGACAGATACAACACTCTGATCTGAAGTAGAAAAACAAAATGGTTATATGGTATTTTCTTGATTATACAAACACCATCCATTTTTATTGCATTTACTTCCCAAAGCTGAATGGAAATAGATGTATTTTTAAAGGTAGCTTCTGTTTGAAAGCAGAAACAACTTGAAAATCTATCACAAATAATTGTTGCTTTGGTGTTTGGAATTAGGAATTAAGGCTTTTAAACTTCAACCTGGCCAATATCATTATCATTTTCCTCCTCCTCTTCAACATTTTCAGGCATGGCCCAACAAAACCCTGGCGTCCTGGGTGAAATGTTAAACTACATCTGCATCCTGGGTAAGGCGATAAACTACATCCAGCAGCAAGATCAAGAGGTTTTGAGGAGCGTGGAACCACCTCTTAATTGCTGGTGTTCCCAGGTCCACACTGATCCAGGGCGATAGCACCTGTTAGGGTCCCAGCTATGAGCATATAGTTAACTATTACCAGCAATACTTTCTTGAAAAAAATTATTACCAGCAATGCAATTCTGAATGAAAAATATTACCAGAAACAGATTTTAGACAGAAGAAAATATTACCAGCAATAAAAAAGTTGCCGGCATTAAATAACGCATTGAGGTTGATATGCCGTAAAACAAAATAAACCAAACCAATCTAAACCAAAGTATACATATTCTATTCATATGAATCTATCCTAAAAATGTTGTCAGCATTAAATAACACATTGAGGTTGATATGTCGTAAAACAAAATAAACTAAACCAATCTAAACCAAAGAATACATATTGTATTCATACGAATCTATCCTAAAAATGTTGTCGGCATTAAATAACCCATTGAGGTTGATATGCCGTAAAACAAAATAAACTAAACCAATCTAAACCAAAGAATACATATTCTATTCATACGAATCTATCCTAAAAATGTTGTTGGCATCAAATAACTCATTGAGGTTGATATGCCGTAAAACAAAATAAACCAAACCAATCTAAACCAAAAAATACATATTCTATTCATACGAATCTATCCTAAAAATGTTGTCGGCATTAAATAACGCATTGAGGTTGATATGCCGTAAAACAAAATAAACCAAACCAATCTAAACCAAAAAATACATATTCTATTCATACGAATCTATCCTAAAAATGTTGTCGGCATTAAATAACCCATTGAGGTTGATATGCCGTAAAAGCAAAATAAACCAAACCAATCTAAACCAAAGAATACATATTCTATTCATACGAATCTATCCTAAAAATGTTGTCGGCATTAAATAACCCATTGAGGTTGATATGCCGTAAAACAAAATAAACCAAACCAATCTAAACCAAAGAATACATATTCTATTCATACGAATCTATCCTAAAAATGTTGTCGGCATGAAATAACGCATTGAGGTTGATATGCCATAAAACAAAATAAACCAAACCAATCTAAACCAAAGAATACATATTCTATTCATACGAATCTATCCTAAAAATGTTGTCGGCATTAAATAATGCATTGAGGTTGATATGCCATAAAACAAAATAAACCAAACCAATCTAAACCAAAGAATACATATTCTATTCATACGAATCTATCCTAAAAATGTTGTCGGCATTAAATAACCCATTGAGGTTGATATGCCATAAAAGCAAAATAAACCAAACCAATCTAAACCAAAGAATACATATTGTATTCATACGAATCTATCCTAAAAATGTTGTCGGTATTAAATAACCCATTGAGGTTGATATGCCGTAAAACAAAATAAACCAAACCAATCTAAACCAAAGAATACATATTCTATTCATACGAATCTATCCTAAAAATGTTGTCGGCATTAAATAACCCATTGAGGTTGATATGCCGTAAAACAAAATAAACCAAACCAATCTAAACCAAAGAATACATATTCTATTCATACGAATCTATCCTAAAAATGTTGTCGGCATGAAATAACGCATTGAGGTTGATATGCCATAAAACAAAATAAACCAAACCAATCTAAACCAAAGAATACATATTCTATTCATACGAATCTATCCTAAAAATGTTGTCGGCATTAAATAATGCATTGAGGTTGATATGCCATAAAACAAAATAAACCAAACCAATCTAAACCAAAGAATACATATTCTATTCATACGAATCTATCCTAAAAATGTTGTCGGCATTAAATAACCCATTGAGGTTGATATGCCATAAAAGCAAAATAAACCAAACCAATCTAAACCAAAGAATACATATTGTATTCATACGAATCTATCCTAAAAATGTTGTCGGCATTAAATAACCCATTGAGGTTGATATGCCGTAAAACAAAATAAACTAAACCAATCTAAACCAAAGAATACATATTCTATTCATACGAATCTATCCTAAAAATGTTGTTGGCATCAAATAACTCATTGAGGTTGATATGCCGTAAAACAAAATAAACCAAACCAATCTAAACCAAAAAATACATATTCTATTCATACGAATCTATCCTAAAAATGTTGTCGGCATTAAATAACGCATTGAGGTTGATATGCCGTAAAACAAAATAAACCAAACCAATCTAAACCAAAGAATACATATTCTATTCATACGAATCTATCCTAAAAATGGTGTCGGCATTAAATAACCCATTGAGATTGATATGCCGTAAAGCAAAATAAACCAAACCAATCTAAACCAAAGAATACATATTCTATTCATACGAATCTATCCTAAAAATGTTGTCGGCATTAAATAACCCATTGAGGTTGATATGCCGTAAAGCAAAATAAACCAAACCAATCTAAACCAAAGAATACATATTCTATTCATACGAATCTATCCTAAAATGTTGTCGGCATGAAATAACGCATTGAGGTTGATATGCCATAAAACAAAATAAACCAAACCAATCTAAACCAAAGAATACATATTCTATTCATACGAATCTATCCTAAAAATGTTGTCGGCATTAAATAATGCATTGAGGTTGATATGCCATAAAAAAAAATAAACCAAACCAATCTAAACCAAAGAATACATATTCTATTCATACGAATCTATCCTAAAAATGTTGTCGGCATTAAATAACCCATTGAGGTTGATATGCCATAAAAGCAAAATAAACCAAACCAATCTAAACCAAAGAATACATATTGTATTCATACGAATCTATCCTAAAATGTTGTCGGTATTAAATAACCCATTGAGGTTGATATGCCGTAAAACAAAATAAACCAAACCAATCTAAACCAAAGAATACATATTCTATTCATACGAATCTATCCTAAAAATGTTGTCGGCATTAAATAACCCATTGAGGTTGATATGCCGTAAAACAAAATAAACCAAACCAATCTAAACCAAAGAATACATATTCTATTCATACGAATCTATCCTAAAAATGTTGTCGGCATGAAATAACGCATTGAGGTTGATATGCCATAAAACAAAATAAACCAAACCAATCTAAACCAAAGAATACATATTCTATTCATACGAATCTATCCTAAAAATGTTGTCGGCATTAAATAATGCATTGAGGTTGATATGCCATAAAACAAAATAAACCAAACCAATCTAAACCAAAGAATACATATTCTATTCATACGAATCTATCCTAAAAATGTTGTCGGCATTAAATAACCCATTGAGGTTGATATGCCATAAAAGCAAAATAAACCAAACCAATCTAAACCAAAGAATACATATTGTATTCATACGAATCTATCCTAAAAATGTTGTCGGTATTAAATAACCCATTGAGGTTGATATGCCATAAAACAAAATAAACCAAACCAGTAAATCTCTCGTTAGTTTAGTGTTCATATCCAAGACTGTCTTCATTGAACCACTTATTTATTTCTGTTTCATTTATCAGTGTAATCAACAAATGCTGATTTGTTTTTTATGGCTTATCAAGCTTTTGCAAGTTATTTAAAGTTATAAAGTATTTTTTCTTTAGATTGCAAGAATTTTTGTAAATAATATTGATTTTCTGATACAAGTTCTATTAATTAACACATAGACGGATGCAGAAGAGGTGCATTTATATCTTTCTCAAGTGTATATGCACGTAACTGAATAGAACAAATCTGAGTGAAATTGAAACTTGGTTCTCTGATTTCTAATTCTGAGCTATTATCCATTACACCATCCACACACTTACAACACCTAGTATTTCGAAATGGTCTCCCATCCAGGTACTGACCAGGCTCAGTGTTGCTTAACTTTGGTGGTCATACCAGAACTGATGTTTAGTGTGGTATGGACATGACCTATTTAATGTTGAGTATGGTTTTCTAAATTTTAAAACTATTGTCTGAGATGAAATTTTAGTATATTAGTTCAGATAATAGAAAAATATTTGGATGAATTCAGCTTTTTTTTGTATAATCAAATTTCAGAAAATTGTGGTACAGATAATCAGGGAATTACTGTATAAACCAGTGGTTCTCAATAGGGGTTCATATGGAACCTGGAAGTCCCTGTGACATTACTGGGGGTCCAAACAAAAAAATAGTAAATTCGGGGTTCACGGTAATATTTTAGTGGTCTACAATTTCACTTCAGAACTGTTATTGCAAATGAGATTTAGAATTTCTATAATAATCTACAACATTAAAATGTTAAGAATAGGAAAAAACAATTCCAAAACTAGCAGAAGATAAGATCAAGCAATGTAAGTTAGTGTCCCTATTAAATTAGTTTTACTTCAAAATAAAGCATATAAAACTACTATTTCTATAATACAATTCCTAAACTTATATATTAGTAAAAAAATAAAATAAGCATTTTTTTTTCATTGAATAGTTATGGGGTCCACAAAAAAATTAAGAGTAAAAGTGGTCCATGGGTAAAAAAAAAAAAGTTTGTGAACCACTGCTATAGACAAAAAATGTAAACATTTTTTCTGCCTGCTACAGAATGCAAAACTCACATGAATAATTTCAACCAGTATGCATCTTTCATGGACTGATGCATTCCCATAGGTGGTGCAGGTCTGCTGGGAGATGAGTGATTTTATTGAGTCACCATCTCTAGACTGGTTGCCATCCAAGGCTGCAGAACAAAGTCTGCCCTACTATTTACCTATAACTGTAGGTAGAAGAGTTGGTTTCATACTTTTCCCAAGGGTATTAGCACATAAGTGAATGTTATAAACTCCATGGGAATGTGAACTTGGCTCTCCGATTCCTCATTCTGAGCCACAATTCATTACTCTACCATGGCTCATATAGACAATCAGAATAATATTAGAGATAATGATTTTAATATAAAAATAATGTTCTTAACATAATATTTATTATAGATAGTATGCTGTTTCTTACTGAATAAATTAATCATTGAAAAATACAATGAAAATATAAGATAGCTATGCATCTACAAACATTGAGAAGCAAAAATATTGTTATTAATAAGGTTCAACTAATTAACTGAGATTTCTGGAGTCCACTGAGCTTTTTTGATTGATTCAACTGAGCTCTCTTGAATAAACTGAGCTCCTTTGATTCAACTGAGCTTGATTCAATGGAAATTTATTGAGTAAACTGAGCTTTCTTGATAGATTAAACTAACTATTCTCTGTTGATTCAACTGAGCTTTCTTGAGTCAACAGAACTTGCTTGGTTCAATTAGTTTCCTTGATTGATTCAACTCAGCTTTCTTGAGTAAACAGAGCTGTATTGATTGATCCAATGGAGTTTTCTTGATTGATGTCTTGATCAATTCAACTGAGCTTTTTGATTCAACTGAACATTCCTGCATAAAGTGAGTTTCCTTGATTGACTAAACTGAGCTTTCATGAGTAAACCGAGCTTTATTTATTGATCCAAAACAGCTTTCTTGATTGATTCAAATGTCCTTTCATTATTCAATTGAGCTTCCTTGGTTCAACTCAGCTTTCTTGATTGATTCAACTGAATTTTCTTGATTCAATCGAACTTCCTTGATTGATTCAACTGACCATTCTTGATTGACTGAACTTTCCTTTCTTGATTCAACTGTCCATACTTGATTGATTCAACTCAGTTTTCTTGGGTTAACTAATCTCTTTTCCTTCAACTGACTCTTGTTGATTAATTGATTGAACCAAGTTTTCTTGATTGATTCATTCATTCATTTTCGTATCCTTTGCTTATTGACTTTTAACAGGTTAATTAAAGCCAGAAGATGTTTTTAGATTGTTAGATTTTTTTGCTGGAGATATTAATGGTTTAGTGATGCAAGTCTTACTAATTATTCCATAGGTGGATTTAAATCTTTCCTAAAGGTATTTGGCACATAAGTGAATTTCACAAACCCAATGGGAATTGAAACTTTGTTCTCTGTTTAACAATTCCAAGCCATTATCCATTACACTACTTACACATCCAAGCTTAGAGCACCTGGTATTCTTAAGTGGTCACCCATCTAGGTACTAACTAGATTCAATGTTGCTTAACATTGCTGATCATACAGTGTTTCAACATAATGTGACCATAAGCTGAACTTTCTGATTCAGAATTTTATTGTTGATCTCTGAAATAAGTTCCATCAAATGTTATGGTATTTTTGAATAAACAAAAACTTTGGAACCTTTCTGACAACTTGAAGATTATCATGGCTTTCAAGAAACCTTTTTGCAGCAAGAATGAATCATGTTCCTTAAAACAAAAGAATGCAGTGATGAGGGATGGTGCCTTTTTGGTTTTCCTTCTTTTTTTTTTATTTAAAAAAATCCAGATTATTCAACCAGAAGCAGAAGGAAAGACTTTAATACCAAAGATAAAAAGCCTACTAGGATAACAAAATCCTGTTTTTTTCATCATCCCCCTAACTTCCGTCAACCTATAATTATTCCATCTATGAGGTCAGCAGCCATGATTTTTGCTTGCAAGGATTAGAAGACCTTTCAAAAAAGAAAAATATTTTGTGGATTTGTTTTTGTTGTCAAGAAGAAAATATAAAATTATCTTTCCTGATGCCTTCAAGTCTGACTCTATTTGACAGACCGGAATTTGCATGATGACTCTGACTCCCATCTTTCTTGTTCTATGACAAAACCCATTGCTTTTGCTGCAGCTGTTGAGCAAAAAGGATAAAAATCAATGTTTCTGTTGATCCTCACCAGAAATCTATGAGGATTTCTACTAGAGTGGCTAAAATTCAAACAAGTGACTTTGATGGCTGACTATTGTCAGAATGTAGATAAGATAAGGATTAAATAGAATCAAAGGATTCCAGGTTTTCTTAACTCCTCACATTGAAGAATACCTTCTAAGAAATCCTAAATCACTGAGCCTAACAGTAAGTAAATATTTCAATATTTATTGTGTTTTTTCTTCTCTCTCTGTAAGGAAGCGAAGTATGATATATAAGAATATTGGTTGAATAGTTTTACTATCTGGGAGGGAAGTGTTTTAACAGAGGATCGAAAGTGCTACTGTAATCTGAAGGTAAATTGTGATAGGAAAAGATGCCTTCCAAAAGCTAAGAAAAATATTAAGAAAGAGAAAAATTTCATTAGAAATAAAGAAAAGAGTGTGGAACAGTTATGTAATATCAGTCTTCCTATATAGCAGTAAATACTGTACAATATCTTCACAGATGAAGAAGCAGCTGGAAGCAACAGAAATCTGGTTCTACAGAAGAATGCTGAGAATATTGAAAGAAAGAGGGATATAGGAAAACAGCACAAAACCTGCTGAGCAATCTTTAATAAATGGATGGTGGAATAAGGTTTAGGAGACATAACAAAAAGACAGTATTTATTAAAAGCTACAAAGGACAGGAAATTGTGGAGAGCCATGATCACCTACACCCTGAAATGACACGGCTTATAGAAGAAAAATGATCTTGAATAAGTGAATGACAGAAAAAATCGATAGCTGCATTTGTTACAAGTGGGAAAAATTTAAATCTGCATGGCACTTTACTCCAATTGTCTCATTCACTTGCTTAAACTCAATGTTGATTCTGATTCCGCAGAACTGGGTTGGGTGTGAAAAAGTATTTGTTGTTAACGCCATGATGCTAGTCTATATCTATAATTCTCAAAATGTGTGTGTGTGTATGTATGTGAATGGATGTTGTTTATGCATTTCCACAGTTTCCATCCGATTTTGATGAAATTTTTTTGTTTGATAGATAATCCTTCAGTGCCGGTTTTGAGTCCAAATTGGCTGGAAAAAATTGTAACCTTGAAGGTGAAAAATCGAAAATTGCACAAAATTTTGCATAAAAATCAAAGGCAAAATTTATTGTCTGTAAAAAAACAACGTACAATCAATTTAGAGAGTTGAAATCTAGCGCAAAAGATTATTAGAATTATAAAAAAAAAATTATATTATAAATAAAAATATTGTATATTATTATTATGACAGTCCATGGAAGAGGTTCCTTCCTTGCAAGATTGAGAACACAAAAATGACCCTTTTCAGGCCCCCATTCAAATTGTTAACCTCCCACCATTTGGGGATGTTCCTCAGTTGCATCCAATTTTTATTACTAATTTTAATTTTCGGGTGGTCTGATTTTAAATTTAAACTGCTCCAATTGAACAGCAAAAATTCCCAGTCATGAAACACCTGATCGAAGACGAGTTATACTATTAGTAACAAACATAAAATAAAATCAAAAATATCACACTTCTTTGAATCTGATCCATCAAGAATTATTCTTGGATTTTTATGTGCCATATCCCTTTAGGAAATGGGTGATCATTGCTCTCCATATCTTCCTAATCTGCTCTAAACAATGTTTGTCCCCTTAATATCCCTCCCAGCTCTTATTCTACCATTGATTTACACAAGCTCATTAAGTAGGTTATTTACTGTTGCCTTCAATATATCCCATGAGTGTCAGATTTTCCACTTGTCAGCCAAAGAACTTCCGCTAATAACCAGATGATATTGCCATCTTTTTTCTCCCTTCAGTTCCAGGATGCTATAGAGAGATGGAAGACTTTTCCATCTTTGCAAACCATATGTTATATTCAACACAAAAAAGTACACAGCATAAAATGTTTTAAGCTTACTTGACTTCATACAGATATATACCTATATCTATCAAACCAAAAGTGAATTCTTCTTAAACATAAGTCTCTCGACATCTTAAGTAGGACTTTGAAGTTACATGATATATAATTTTCTGTTGATATTTTTGGTTAAAAAATACACCTGGTGAGGGCTGGAGAATGAACAGGTTGGAACAATGTGTTAATATAAAAAAGAGGTTAATGCACCACACAATGTTGGACAAGCCAATTCCAACAGAAAATTTCTTTTACAGTCA